CGATGGTTAGAGACCTTGAATGACATGGCTCAAAATCGTTCGCAATGGCGCCAGTGCATTTATTCTCTGTGTTCTCTCAAATGCTAATCTTTTGGATTCTTCAACACCTCTAGTTTCGAATCTCTAAACTTATCTCACTGAATCATACTTCTTGAATAATATCTTCTAATCCTAACCTCTCCGATTATTTCTAATTCCCTTACTACCTCTTCTACTATTGGATTTGAATTGACGATTACTTCTCTGTGCTGATGTGGTATGGCAACATGAACTGATGTACTTATGTACAAAGTTCTACGTTGCATCTGACTGACTGACTGAAAGGTCCTCTTGTGACAATTACAGTTTAATCGGATTGACAAGCGATGTGTCTAAGTTATTAGCTTCAGTTATACTTCAACGACCATTTAGAGCTCGTGAAGAGTAGGCGAGTGAGAACTAGGCCGATTTCAGACCTGGATGTATATATATATATTTATATACCAGATATATTTACTTTATCTGGTTCTAGAACATAGACACTTCCAGAAATCCGACAATAGTTGTATTCCTCGACCTTTATGCGGCGTTCGACTGTGACGATGATGAGGTAGTGTGTGAGTGTCCGTCATTAAAAGGTGTACCGAAGAATTACAGTAATCAAATACAGGCTCTGTACTCGAGCACTACTAGGTGAGTAAGAACTCATGCAGAACTGTTATCGGAATTGATTACTTAAAGTGGTTTGTGTCAGTGTTGTCGGCTTTCTCCATTCTTATTTCATTTTATAATTGACATACCTTTAGAGACGAGTTTTATCTTCTGACTTTTCAAGAGTTGACCTTAACCAAGAGATACACTTGTTGACTTAGAATATGCATATGGCACAGTTGTGTTTGGTGAAGATGCTGACAAAATACAGAGTCTTATTACCACGTTAAGCAACAATGCAAGCTTTTTCGAGATATGACTTTCCTCTCTGGAAATGCGAAATGTTGCTTCAGGACAGGCTTTCTTTGGCACCTAAATATTTATACGCCACAATCCAATTGATATGTGAGGGTTGGGATAGTACTCGGATAGTAGTGCAACGTTAGGAGACGTGGTCCGAGGGTATCCGGTGGTCAGTAGTCGTTTTGCATTGCATCCATTCAATTAGGATCCAGGAGCTCTTGTGCGCTACTGGTCTGGAATGAGGGTTTTCCAACTTCCCCGGGTGGATCATATTCTTCAAACCCTAATATTTCGAATTACTGCTGTTACTTCTACTACCTCTACAAATGTGAGATTGGAATTGAATTTCCGATCTCTGTGCGCCAATGTGGTATGGCAATGGAAACTGATGTATGGACATTGCATTGTAGCTGACTGACTGACTAGGTATATTGGTCATTTATGACGTAGTCTTTCTGTTTATCTCCTAAGCGTTTGGGGTGTCGTAACTCTTATGCGTTGACTTTTCAGTTTCATAGTTGTACTGCATGCATATCTGATTAGTCCTTTTGTGTAATGTTTCTTTTTCCAGCAGTTTTCTTCTGAACACCGGAAAGTGACCTTGTTTTAAATGAGTGTCGTTTTCATTCCTCGAGGCTTAGAGCATGATTTGAAACAACAGCTGCCGAAAAATAGTGACTTAACAAATGAACAGTTATTGTTGTAAGTATCTTTTTTATCAAACAAATCTGTTGTTCTTTACTGGAAGATTATACAACATTTTTGGTGATTTAATCATGAAAGCATTGTTGATTATCGAGTGTGGTTCAATAACTATTGAACGATCGAAATCATCACAGCATCAATTATTTCGAGTAATTTGAAATTCATTCATTCATTCATTGTTTTTTTTTAATAAACTGATGTTTGAACATTAAAACTTATCGATTTTTTGTAGGTAGAATCGAATTCCGGTTCATTACATTACTGTTCAAATTACACACGTTATTGTCGTTGTTTTAATACAGTACAGAAGTATATTGAACCTTTATATAAACTATGGGTAAATATCACTTGTTTTATTGATGTTTGAATGTTATGATTTTCCCTTTTTTACTATATTCTAGTGTGAACATAATCTAGCTATATTTCTAGCTGAACTGATGGGTAAAACGAAAGTGGTTTATCTACACGATGATGTGTTTTGTCGATCATTGGAGATGTTATATAGTCGAGATGTCACTGATCCTAATACTTGTATTATTGGAAGTTCCAAATGAATTATTACTTTGTATGTAACATGTTTTATGTTGAATGAATAAAAACAGAAACACTTTGGTAAATACATATTTTCATACTGTCTACAAGAAGATCTTTTGAATGTCTGGTGAAGTGTGAAAAAGTTTTCTTTCAAATAGATTTGCATTACTGACTAGTTGTGTCATTCAATTTAGGCGTTTCTGTTGATCATTCGAACTAATAGAATCTTGATTCATAGATGTGTCATATTCAGTGGTGTTTTCCAATTTGGTTCTGACTTGATTTTCGTTTATTTGCGTCATTCGTAAGCACCGAATTACTGATTTGTAAGATGCATTCTTGATACGACATTATGAAAACGGTCAGCCCAACTAGTTATGTTTTTAAATTTTCAGTTTTTAGTTTTAAATCTTTCTCGAAGAACACATGCATCTCTGGTGCTACGTCATCTACTGCATACCTGCAGATCAGTTATGGTATTCACTTAATAGTTCACTGTGAACTAGATAGATGTCTCGGAAAGTTTTCATTCATGGTGTTACTTCGATGCTAATTTTCCTGATGTTTCTCATTCTTAATATGAATTGATGATGAGGTTTTGGAGATGGAACGGTAAATGCTTCTTCTTCAGTTCTCCACAATGCGTTCGTTGTATTGATTACTTGTATGTTCACTGTTGTAGTCATGTAGTTTAGATTTCCTCGTTTATTGATCTTCACCAGTCCGTTCATAAAACTCTGTAAATAAATTGAGGGAGGATACACCGAATAACGATGTCTTAATGCAATAATGTGTGAATATTGATAAAAGGTGGTATATTTATTTGTATATGGGGACAAGTACGAACATATTAGATTGTGAAGATGCTCATATTTTGGATGAAAGGAATTATAGAGATGAGTTGGAGAGAGAAATATCTCGTTTTGTCTTTATATAAACTGTTTGCTGAAAAGCTTTATTCAGATTAATCGACGGAGATTCAGTGTAACGCGTTTTGAGATGAACATCAATCTATTGCACTGTCAGCGAATAATCGAGAATGCGAAATCTCATGAAGGTAACAGAACCTGTCAAGACAATAGGTCATGCAAACCAACTGATTTACCGCTGGTGGATTGCTTCTGAGGAAATATGCATCTTCTTCCAGGCGGAAACATGTATGTTACGCAGCTAAGAGAAAACACTACTACCAGGAAACCGCATCAGAAAGCGGAGATATGCTGCACAAGCTCAGAATGATCTTCCCTGAAAGTAAAATGAAAATGGTAATTATGAAGCACATCTTCACAACGCATATCTATAGAAAATGGACTGGTGGCAATTTACACACGTTCTCGGTAAACGAGAAGATAAAAGAATCTGCAGTTCATTCTGATTTAGTCGTTTTTGATTGGATCTAATTTGCACAAAATCATTGATGTCAATCGAGTGTTATATTTTCGGAGAAGATTGAATTATATTTTTTTAAGTAACTGAAATTGTCAATATTGTTTCTTATTGTTTAATGATCTAATTTTAACCCTCTTCGTTTTATTGTGTCAAAACTTGCTTATAAGGTTTTCATTGTTGATTGACGGTTATGTTTGTTTGAATGATGGTGGGTGACGCGGATGTATTGTTTGTGATTCTGTATTGCAACTTTGTTTATGATGTATAATAGTATTTTGACTTATTTGTCATTGAAAAGTATACAAGATCATGACAAGAGCTATTGATGATGTTTAAGGAATGGCTGTATTATATATGTACACTGATGTTAATTTGCTTTGTAATTGAGAAGAGGTTAAACAACGAATGAATATATTTATGAAATGTCTTCTATATATTTTGACTACTTACAAGTAGTCAAGTGTTTCATAGAAAATATGGTTGAATTTGGTTCTATTTGTAATGTGTCATCGAAATACATTTACTTGTTCAATTCGTTTCGTCTTGTTGTTCAGTTGGTTGAAATTGTAATGCGTGTATTTATGCAAGAGACAATGAAGTAGATTATTTATTCTACATAATTCTTAGTATTAACGAAATTGTCAACGTATAATTCGTGATAAACCAGTCACCTTTTATTATTGACAATTTGAGTTAATTAACTGAAGATGAATAAAAGGAATAGTTTTGATTGAAGTTGGTGTACAGTCAGTTTTTGTTTTAGCGTTGTTTTGATTAGATACCGAATAAATTAATCTGGTTGAAATATAACTGTTAGTAAAAACATTTACTAAAACAATCCGTTTCTAATAATGTCAGCAACCAGATTTATAGTAAACAGCTCAAATATGTACTTCAAGAATATTGGGGAGAGCCAAATTCATTTCGAAGTCTGTTTTATATTTAAAAGAAAGTTGAAAATATTCTGTCATGAGAAATTAAGCCTTCGAGATTTAATTTGATTGACAAGAGAAATTTTCAAACAATCAGTCCCTTTTATAAATTTTGATAGAACAGTGTGAAGACAAGAGAGAATCTCACTAAGAGATTAACTGAAATATTTTACAATTTTGACTGTAACCATTACTGAAAATTCATCTCATACTTTCAAGCCACTAGTTGGTTTCTGTGTACATAATGATGAAGTATGTAGATTATTCTATCGAGATTTATCTGTACATTTATATGAATACAAAGTGGTTGAGGTGTTCATTTGATTTTCGTATGTTTTTATCAATACAATTCTGTTAGAATATTCATCCAATATCCTAAGATAATTGTTGGTTAATTCCTATTGGTTAATTTATACTGGTCAATTTTATGATCGTCCTAGATATCAATATTGCGTGCTCAAATGTTGTTTCTTATTGGTTGTCCTGACTATCCATGTCACTTCAAATGTTGCTTCCTATTGGTTGTCTTAACTGTCTATGTAACAGACTTCGATGGTGTTTCTCATTCGACCAAAATGTATAAATACGCATTATCTGTTACGTTTTTTGACCAGGTCAGGACCTGGTTAACGTGTTAACGTGCAGGCGTAACAAATTTCCAGTTCTATGAAAAAAATAGGGATGTTTATTATTACCTTACTGTTTCATTTTGTATAACCTAAAAAAGAAGAAAGTGGCGCTCGTTTGTTGTATACTGATCATGATATGACTTGTAGAAAGCTTACAGTCGGCATGCAGTGGTAAGTCGCCCAAAAAGTTACAATTGAAGTGAAGACAATCGGATCCGATTCTCATCAATGCTGATGGCCTGGTTTCTGACGAAATCCTAGCACGGATACAGAAGGCTTGATTGACTTACTTTAACCTGCGTCACTTGTGGCGTAGGCGAGATATCCGTTTGCTAACCAAAGGACGAGTGTACTGCGCAGTAGTTCACTCCGTCTTACTTTATGGCTGTAAAACATGGCCAGTGAGAGTAGAAGATGTTCGTCGGTTATTGGTTTTCAATCATAGGTGTCTTCGAAGCATTGCTCGTATATCGTGGGACACCCGAGTGAGCAACGCTGTTATTAGGAAGCGGGTGCTAGGTAAGAATGGCAGATCAATAGATGAAGTGGTGAAACTTCATCAGTTGAGGTGGTTGGGACATGTGCTGCGTATGCCTAACCACCGACTGCCTCGTCGAGCTTTGTTTTGTAGTGTAGGAATAGGCTGGAATAAAGTTAGGGGCGACCAAACCAAAACATGGCTGAATTGACAATTATCTCTCTGTGCTGATGTGGTATGACAACATGAACTGATGTACTTACGTACAAAGTTCTACGTTGCATCTGACTGACTGACTGACTGATCACGATTGTAACTAACGTGAATTTCGCGAGGATTGATGAATTTCACTTCTTTTTGAACGATAATCATAAAAATAATTAGCCTTTCCTTATTTCACCTCAAACTACGTTATGTGATTGGATGATTGGATTGAATGTCAGCATGAAACTAATCTGATCTTAATATCAGTCTTTCAACTGACATTGTAATGAATATTTGAGCTGAAAGAGAGTGGTCGGAACAATGAGAACCTGTCAGAATAACATGATATTTTCAATTACATGAACTAAGATATACTTCGTGATTTGTCCTTACCTCATAATATCAATGATATCCTGATTATTGAAGAATGCGAAAATAGGCGAGGAATGTGGAAGGACGAAACTAGATGTGTCATAATTTTGTGCCAAGTGAAGTGAATATTTTGAGGCAACTGTAGAGGTGAACACGTTTATACACCAATGAGTTTCGGGTCGAAAGCGTTATCCCCAATCTTTTATCGTAAAGACTTGGACGCGACTCACCTAGATGAAATATGCGTATTAGCTGGCAATTTCTTGGTATCAAAACAAGGTCGGAACGTGCGAGAGAATTAAGCGAACGTACAGTGCAGCAAGATCAATATGGCGACCGAAGTGTAGGAACGCGTTGCAAAATTACGAGCAAAGAAATGTTCGATAAAATGCTCACTGGTAAAATTGGTTATAATGATGAATATCGTTATTTAAACAATAAAGTTTTTCCTCGGTAAAGTCAAATCGCTACACGTTATGTCAAGTTTCGTGTAGTTGCGTAACAGTTTGCAAATACAGTTAGACGCTCTGTTTCCGACATCTATGACTGATTAATCTCACTTGTCGTAGTGTGGTCAAGTTTCGTTTATGATTTTTGTTATTTAAGAACACTTGTTCTTAGTATTCGTAATTAGCCCGTCCAGACAATCGTTACTAAATAGCGTCTGACGGTTATAAATCAGAAGGTAAACTCGAAGTGTTGAATACGTTTATTTCGGCACACCACAAATAGCAGACCACAAGCAGACCGGGCAGGCACACTAGCGAGTGAATGGGCGAATGTGCGAGTGAGTTAATAAGATTAAAATGTTCGTATATATACATAAGAAGATACCTGAGTCATCGTGATATTTAAGAGATCAATATTAAAGCGAATAGGATGCATATGCTCGTAGGCGTTAAGCAGCGCTCAGTCATACCAGCTCATCCAAAGCACACAATAATAAAAGATAATGGTACATATAAGTTATTGTTTTACAAATGGCTTGGTTAAGTAAAATAATCCAAAGGGCTTAACCAAATTAAATATAAGCGAACTCGAATATACGTGGAGGCACTACACACTGGTTTATTAGTCTCGAAGTTATTTGGCTACAGAATCA